TGTGTGTGTGTGTGTGTGTGTGTGTGAGAGAGAGAGAGAAAGAGACAGATAGAGAGCAAATGGTACACAGAGGGCAAAAAAAAGAGAATAAAAGTCTTTGTTCATAGAAAGGGTTGGGATTATAGAGGCAGAAAGGAGATTTGTTCAGTTTGAAGTAATCCTTCATTTATGTCCTCATTTGATACTGAATCTCTTTTTCTCTTCTCTTTCACTGCCCCAGGATGAAAAAAATCAGGTATTAATAACCAACGCCTGGCTACAGCTGGTGAGTTTCTACTTAGTTTCCTTTTGTACTCTGTGCATGTGTGTGTGTGTAATAATGTAAGGCAAGTACGTCATTTTGGTAATATTTCCGGGCAACTACTTTCTTACTTTTTACTAAGAGCCACAGCTCCTCTCTTCTTGGGAAAGACCAAAAAGTGTTTTAACGGTTTGTCACAATTACATTTCAATAACATATTTAAAATCAGCAATAAAATACAACATCTGAAAAATGTTACAATTAAAAACCTCATTGATATAATGCAGTTTCCAGCTATTTCCAACTCATCACCAGTGGCAGTAAAGCACCAACAAACTTCTCACACAAATTATGATTACAAGAGCAGAGTATCGATTAATAAAGTCTTGTTTCCGCATAGTTCCTTGCAAAGTAAGTCTTCAAAACCATGCACTTCACCATATTGCATGACTTATAAACTAATATATTTTGACAATTACATCATATGTACCATATATATGACTTTTCTGATGTAGTAAACTTGCTCAGTAGCTCACCTGGTAAAGCATTCACTTGCAATGCACTCGGCTACAAGCAGTGTTGCAAGCAGCAGAATTATTAGAAATTTAAATAGGTTGTTCCAGTCGCATGACTCACAGGTGACAAACAAAGGTTTCAGACCTCAGAGCAACAAGATAACGACATTTCAATGGCTTCTAGGTTTAATGTCATGCCCCTTGGTCACATCAGGCAGATTTAAAACTAAAATAACAGCTTGAAGTGGAGCAGGACCAGGTCTATATCTGGGAGTTATAATGGGCTTTCTGACTTCATAACATAGCTGTTTGCATTAGGATCTGTCTGTACATGGCTGCCATCCTCTGGTGCACCTTCTTTGGACTGCATTTTTATGTAGTTTCACTTTAAACAATAGAATTGAGTTCTAAACAAATTTCAGAAGAATGTAAAAACGAACGTTTATATTATATTTCACTGCAGGATTTAAATGAACATCATAAAAAAGCATGAATATGCCATGAGGTTGATAAACTGTTTTTGGCGCCAAAGAGTGCTTTAAGATGAGCAATGTTGTCAGACTTTGAATATATTCCAGTTCTGCATTCAAAACTCATCTGGATATTATTTACTTGAGTAAAAGTTTCCATGCTGAGAAACATTACAAACCAAAGTAATTGCTAAAATGCCAAGGCCCACTAAAGGTGCAAAACATAAGCACATTAAATATATTTGGTAAACATAATCAGCCTGAAAGCAGGCAAGTGTGAAATTTCATGAAAGGCATGTTTGCAAATGTGAATATACTCAAATGGCACCAATTGATTGGTGCCAACAGTGAGTTTTAGTTGTTAAAAGGCGTTTCTATCTGTCTGAAACATTGCTCATCTCTAATTCACCTTTATTGACCTCATCAGCCATAATGCATGAGTTTAGCCAACTGAGCACTTAACCATGAAATTAAGCTGGATAAGAAATTTTCCACAAAGGGGCCGCTCTGATTTTGAACCCAACATTCAGACCAGTTGCTTTCCAAAGTGCCAAGCAGGCTTAGAGACAGACCTTGCACAGATGATCACCCACAAACTGACTTTTGATTTTTTGACGTTGTAATGTATGGCCCACAGATGGATGTCACATGTTAAATGTTGCATGAGACACACATTTATGTTTTAGATAAAGTCTGAGGGATAGATGGGTAGGAATAGGGATGGGTGTAACTCGAATGTGGTGTGTTTTGGTCCTAGATCTCTCAAAATTTAGCACAAAATACTGTAGCAATATGTCAACCTCAGTTGCTCTATTATATGTGATTATGAAGCAGACTTAAAGAACTGATTTTGAATAGGAGTTGCATTGTTGCAGCCTACTCCAACAGGTCTTACTGACTGCAGCCTTTTTTCTGCTTAAACCCTGTCATTCCTCATGTCTAGGCATGATAAATATAATTTAAAAAGGGGGAAAAAAAATTAGTTTAGTTTTCAAAAGTATTGTTTTTCAAAAAGCATTAAATCTCTTTCCATTCATTTAAGTGGTAACCTGAAATTGTTACCTTAACAATCTCTGTCTGATTCAACATATAACAATTAATTTTGTTGGTATAAAAATAGGTTGGTTCAGTGTTAAATAATATTTTTGACTTGTATAACCAGTTCATTTAGATTTACCATTTTTAGGTTACCACTTTTTGAATTGTAGAATGGTGGTATGATCTTAAAAAACAGAATATGGTATATTAAATTATAATATACAAAATATACAAAACGTGCAAATATACAAATATTAAATTGGTTAAAAAATTAACTACTCACCTTATCTTTTATTGGTTCTAAAATCTTACGTGTTTCTTAAAAACATGAAACTGCGCATGTAACATTGGGAAGAAAGTGGATCTGTTGTTTTCTTCCCATGCTTTTATTGGACATGGTGTAGAAACAGTATGTTCTATTGTAAGTATGTGCTGCAGTACATCTATGAAATAAGTGCAGCGCACATTCCCTGATCCTATCATTATGTCAGTGCCGAGCAAGCCGTCCTGTCCGCAGAGAGAGCCAGCGCCTCGGGGAATACGCTCACTAAAGCACACTGGGACATCTGAGCCACAGAGACACAGAGAGAGAGAGATGTGTGGAACAGAAACTTCTCTTTCCTCCTGACTGATCTGATGTGATCTGTGAGGATGAAACAAACATGATTTTCTCCCTGTTGTTTTAACTCAATTAACTGTGCATCAGTGAACACACACACACACACACATACACACACACAAGTAATCAGAAATAGTTGAAAGGTCGTATTATAATGATAGCAATCTGTAATATATGAGATAAAGAGGAACAAACGTAATAAAGAATATATGTGCTTAACCTACATAATTTTTTTGTGGAAACTCATGCCAAGTTTTTTTTTAACATGCTCGGGAACTTCTACCAAAATTTCCAAGAGTTACGGGGATAGTAGCCACAGAGACACACACACACACACACACACACACACACACACACACACACACACACACACAGATGTGTGGGACAGAAACTCCTCTTTCCTCCTGACTGATCTGATGTGGTCTGTGAGGATAAAACAAACATGATTTTCTCCCTGTTGTTTTAACTCAATTAATTGTGCATCAGTGAACACACACACACACAAGTTATCAGAAATAGTTGAAAGGTCGTATAATAATGACAGCAAGTTGTAATACAAGAGATAAAGAGGGACAAACGTAAAAAATAATAGATGTGCCTCCCCTACATTTTTTTAAAATTTTGTAGAAACTCACACCAGTTTTTTGAACATGCCTGGGGTCTTCTACCAAAATTTCCAAGAGTTACAGGGATAGTTAATCCAAAAACTTTTCATCCTTGTAGGTATCCAGCTATTGTGTAAAATGCAGAAAGAAATGTTTTATCTGATGAAACATGAAGACAGTCAAAATGTATAGGTATTTTAATAAGGATGCGTATTTATACGGTAATGCTAATCGACATAGCATTTATCACTGTGTAGAATACTATAAAATAATATAATTTCTGCCTCATTCTGTGATAAGAATCAGTTCATAAAAGGAAGTTATTTAAAACACTCGTTTGGAGTAAAAATATGTTGTTATTCTCATAAATTGTACTTTGAGGCTGTAGTAAACTAAAAACGGTTTGCATTTTAGTCTCTTCTGTTTAGTGTAATTATTCTTTTTGTATGCAATGATGTGTTTCATTGGTCAAAGAAGGAAAAAAGAGGAATTTGTCTGATAGCATGGTTTATTTATTTATTTTTATATTTATTTTTCAAGATTTGTATATATATCATGATATATCGCTATTGTGAATTTTTGTGGCCACGGTAATCGTGTAGTGAAAAATCTAATATTGTGACAGCCCTAGTTCCAATTATCAAAGCAGCAAGTCTAATGTCTTGTTTGCCTTTTCTCAGTTGAGGGCATCTCTAAATTAATTTAATAGGATATCAGTGTGCTTTCTGTTGCTTATAACAAGAAAGACTGCTTGTGTGATGCTAATAAAGCTTTAAAAAAAACATTATATTACTCTAAATCCAGTGTGGCACTGCATATTAACCTGCCCTATAATACAGCAGAGAGGCAACTTTAGGCTAGAGAAAATATAGCCAAGGGCCATCTACACCTCTGAAGAGGGATCAGGTGGAGTTCATGCACAAAGAAGTGAGATGTCAACACACATTACTCATATTAACATTTTTGACTTTCACCGACTATATTGAACTTTAATCATTGGCATTTAAGTGATTTTTGGAGACTGTTCAAACACATGGTGTTATATACAGTTTCGTGTATTGCATATGCATGTGTCTTTGCTCTGTGTTGTATGTGTATTTATGTCCTTATTTCCTTATTTTCCAGTGGTAAAGGTACATGTGTGTACCCTGGGGAGACCCCAGCTGTGTGATTGTGTTATTGTGTTTTCTGGCTGTGTGTGTGTAGAATATGTTTGTGTCTAACTATCAAGTATTTTAATGATGCTGAATCTGATGCATGTTTCATGTTTTCAGGGATGGACAGATATCTATCTGAGCTGGAACCCTGATAACTACCCTGGTGTTCAGACCCTGCGTTTCCCATCCAATCAGATCTGGACACCAGATATTCTGCTGTACAACAGGTATTGGACACATAGTTACATTTATATCATTTTGTTTGCTTGGAGCCCACAATAGTGTGTTCTTCTTAAACTGCCTAATAAATGGTCTTATTCTACCAAAGCAATAAGCCACAGGAGGCTGATCAGTGATTTTGCCATCTACACACACATACAACACACTCCAGTGGATTATTATAAGACAGCAGCAACAGCGGTATGATAAAAGACACTAATCAGTACCTTAAAGGGGTCATATGATGCGATTTCAATTTTTCCTTTCTCTTTGGAGTGTTACAAGCTCTTGGTGCATAAAGAAGATCTGTAAAGTTGCAAAGACTAAAGTCTCAAATCCAAAGAGATATTCTTTGAAATATCTCAAGAAGCTTTCACAGAGAACATCAGAGGCATCAGGCAAGGAGTTCGTAGAAGGATTTGCAACAGATTGAATAATTGAGAACAAAACCTTAGGTTTAGAGTGATTAGTTTCAATTAGATTAGAAAAATATGCAGCTTTAGCAGACTTAACAGCAGTTTGGTAAGATGTAAGTGAGTCTTTAAACATTTGAAGAGAGATATGTAGCCTGTCCTTCTTCCATTTGCCTTCTGCCTTTCTACAGTTTTGTCTTAGAAGACGGGAGTCCAGCCCGGGGTCGTCACATTTGGTTGCCTCAAGCCCGCCGGCCGTCGCTCACTCTAGGCCGCCGTGTGTCAGTTCAACCCAAATATTCAGATGTGTGCAGCACATTTTAAGGAAGACTGTTTCCTAATCCTGGGAGAGGAGACTACAGTGCCGGCTGTTCTGACTCACAGACTGTAAGTACGTTTTCATTTGAAGGATTTGCCACTGACGATTCAAACGCGAGTTTTGAGCAGTGTGGAGTAGGGCTTGCTGTTTGTCATTTCTCCGATCACGAATGCAGACATGGTTTTATGTTAACGCGGCGCGATGCAATGCAATGCGTAAAAAGACAGTATAAGTCATTATAATCCGTAATTATGTCCCCACTGGATGCAACAAATGCCTCGTTTATAATGGGTTTTAATGTTTTTGTCTCGTTGCTCCGGCCGGGACATGGCATCACAATATGGTAAGGGACGTAACATTTCCGTCACACGCTTGAGGTATTCGGCCAATCACAACGAACTGGATAGCTGGCCAATCAGAGCACACCTCCCTTTTCAGACCGATGAGCTTTGTAAAAATCGACGCGTTTCAGAAAGGCGGGGCATAGAGGAGAAACAATAATGTACAGTATGTGGAAAATAATGTGTTTTTTTAACCTTAAACCGCATAAACACATTTCATTACACCAAATACACCAAATAATGTTCTTTTTAGCAACATCATATGACCCCTTTAAGTGGTTACACTTTAAGGTGTCCTATAGTGTAATTATAGATTAATATACACAGAGTAATATTAATTAACAACTACTTACTATAGGGTTAGGACTAAAGATTGGTTTAGGGTTATAGTTGCTTGAAATTATGCACAATTTACTGTTATTGTAAGTACATTTAGCGTGTAACAAGGACACTGTAAAATAAAGTGTTACCAAAAATGGTGTGAGCATTGTGGGCAAAGGCTTGGATCATGAATATTCATTAGATTATGCACATTCTAACACTATAACGTGCTGTATTAAGTATATGTCATGTTGATGAAGTGTAGATTAAATGCAAACTGTTTTGGTCATTCAGTTGTACTGTGCTAACTACTATGCTAATTACATTTATATGACCCAGTGTAAATGAATGTGTAGACCCAATTAGATGTCAGTTATCAACAATCAAGACACATGAAGTGACTAAGAGTACATTTGTACTTCCTCTGTGTTGAATGATGGCCGACGGGGACAGAGACTGTTTAATAATACAGGAGAAAGCCAGTAAAACAAATCAGAGGAGCTTTATCAAGCTTACAGAGACACATTTTCATGTGCCTCATATCTGTGTGGATACGGTGCTGTGATTTCTTTTATTTTTATGCCAAGTAGTCATTCTTGACACAGGTATCAGTCCACATGTGATGTTTCACAGCACCAAACATTCATAATAAATTCCTTCAGTGTATTTTGGCAGAATTATAAAGGAACTGTTGATCTAAAAATGAAAATTCTGTCATCATTTACCCATCCTCTAAAGCTGAATAACTTACTTTCTTACTTTGAACCTAAATGTTGAATGAGAAAAAGCAGCATGAACATTCCTTAACACACCTTAACACATCATGAAAGTCATTCATGTTTGCAGTTACATGAACGTGAGTAAATGATGAGGGAATTTTCAGTTTTGGGTGACCTATCCCTTTAGGCATTATTATACGTTGGGTGGACTTTGAAAACTCAAGCCTTGTGTCAACAATCAGTAGATTCGAGTGACCATCTGTTCCATCTGAATGGAAATCTGAACTGATATGTGATGCACTCAGTTTTATAACATCATACTTCACTCTAGTTGCTCTCACCACAGAATTGAAAGCTCAGGCAATAAAGACAGGCAGTGAAACATCAGTTTACACGTTGCAAATTGGCATTAGGGGACACTGGAGGCAATTGTAACATTTTTTTTTTACATTTTCCTTCATAACTCACAAACTAAAACATATTCATCTGCCAACAACAGTAGAACCATTAAAACATTTACACTGAGAAAGGCTTGATCATAATATTGAATTATGAATTTAATTACAGGAAGTCAGAGCGTCATAAAACTTTTAAGTAACAATTTAAAGATAAAATATAAAGGCATAAAAATGCTGGGCATTAAAAAGCTTACTTTTTTATGTCTAGCACAGTAAAATAATCTTTATATTTTTCAGGCAGAGAGGGAACTGTAAGTATGTGCTGAATAAGTGTTAGCAGCTTACCTTTCATCAGAAATATCAAATCAGTAGTATAATAAAGGATAACCACAAATTGTGTGAAGGACCATTCTGAAACATTTAGACTACAGCTGGCACTTGATTTTGTTGACTCTTATTGTTTAGTGCCACTTGCAACATGTTTAACCACTTTGGTCTGGTCTGGCAGTTAGTCGTTTGTAAAACCCTATGACTTCCGCGAAAAATCAAAAGTAGGTCAGTACACTTAAATGAAAACACGATATGGACTAATGTCTGAGTATCAAACCACAAAAGACTATTTAAATATGAATCCTGCATGTTCTGTGTGTCTGTGTGAATGAATGGCGAATACTAATACTGTGAATACTACACACATACTGAAGCACACGTGACGTTCGCAGTGTTTTCAGCCTCTGCCGCCTCAATATATGAGTACATGAACACATAAACATAATCTCTAGAACTGCTCTCAGAG